TAAGAATTTGTTGCTGGTATTTTTACTATAAAAATATTTTTTATACTTTCATGGTGTCTTGTTTTTGTTTTGGGGGTTCACTATTTACTCATAGTTGGGTCAGTAACAGTGAATTTGGGGAAAACAGCAATTAAGAGGTGATTCCACGCTTCTCAAAATCTCCAATCTCCCGCTATATTAGAGATGGCAAAACAAAATAGCTACAACAACAACAATAACAAGTATTTTAACTTTTTTGAGGGTCTCACTTCTTCAGATCTCAAATTCTTCCAGTACCTTGACAAGTGTCTTCGAGACTGTTCCAGGTACTCGAATCACGATGGGTACAACAGTCACCTTCATAATTATTTGCTTTTTTTTTTTGTTTGTTGTTTTTATTTTATTTCTCTGTCAAGGTCCAGTTATTTTCCTAACGTTCCATTTTTTTTCACTTTCAACCTACTGAAACAGAAATATCCACTGTCTGAGAAAACATTCCCCTGTTTACGATAATTGGATTTGTTCTTCTGGCCCCGGATTCACTGATCCGTTTTAAATTTAATCATTCTTGCTCTCCTTACACTCCCCAACATTGTCGGTGTCGGAACAGTTCTTTTTTTGTTTTTCTCGAATTTTTTAATCCATCTAATCGTGACTCATGTGCTTTCGATACAGATTTCAGTATATTGCCTTTAATAGACATTATCAAGGTTTTGCAGTTTTCTCAATTTTATAATAATTGTTCTGATGAACTTCCTTCTATGGTATCTAGACGCTATGATTTTAAGTGCAGTACTAGATTGGCGGCAAGGTCTCATCATTTTACTGTTGAAATTACTGGATGTAACCGTAAGTTCTATGCTAACAGTGGCTTTATTAACTTACTAGATGTGAAATGATTAAAAAGAATTTGCAGATGCCCGATATTTCACATCCTACCATGCGTTCAGGCAACAAATACAGCTGAATTGTAAATTCAATTATTATTATTATTATTATTATTATTGTTCAGATTTCTGATGTATACTCATTTCTTTCCAGGTCCCGACAAGAGACCTAAGGTCAAAATCGCATCCTGACATTTTCCATTGAGCAGTTTTAAAAAAAATCACACATATTTTACATAGATAAAGCCATTTGTAAGGTGTCGGTTGTACTTGTGAGTACAATTTTTTTGTATTTCTTTAAAGCATGAGCTACCAACAATCCCTTCAAAGAGTCTATTGGAGTATTTTCCAATCAATCCGAGGGCTCCAACTAGAACCCGAATTAGTGATGTCCTAATGTGCAACATTTTTAACATTTCGATTTCAAGGTACTTGCATTTTGATCGTATTTTGAAAATCTTCATAGATACATTGCAGTCTGCAGGGACTATCATATCAATAAGGAGGCATGTTTTGTCTTTGCGGTCTCTAATCACGATGTCTGGGCGATTAGCTTTAATTGCTCTGTCTGTGTGTATTGTAAATCCCATAAAATTGTTACCGGTTCTATCTTCGTAACCGGGTTTGAGTGGTGTTCATACCAATTTCTTGCAGTTTCCTTTCCGTAAGTTTGGCAGATTTTCCAGTGGAGATATTGGCCAACTCTATCATGCCGAGTTTTATATTCAGTGGGTGCCAATACCGCGCAACCTGATACAAGATGGTCAATATTTATAACATAATCTGCATTTTGGGATAACACATTTTTTTCAGTATGTGTGCTTGGTAATTTATAGTTAGCAAGTATTGATTCAGTGCAGCAAAATATAACCTTCTGTTTCATCTTTTAACCCTGCACTACGTAGCCACTGCTGGGTATGGGTTTTGTCTATATCAGCTTGTTTGGTACGGGCAGAGTATTGACTATGAAGAGCTTTATCTTGACACCTTTTCTGTATATGGTGGGTTGCATTTGCCCCTTTGCTTTCTTTTTTAAGTATTTTGCAGCTGCAGGCGGTTTATTGTGCTTTACTTGCATTTCTTCGCCCTCTTGAAATTCCATTTTTTAACTTGTTGGCTTCCTTTATCATCTAGTCTTCTATAGAATCCAGGTATCATTGAAGGCCAATTGTTGTAAATTTGTAAGACAGTTCTAGTTGAACTAATCCTCTGTCTCCTTCGGATCTGGGCACATACAGACGATCAACAACAGACTTGGGATGATGCACGCTGTGGCAGGTGAGAAGCTTTCTCGTTTCGGCGTCCATTCGCTTAATGTCAGCTATGGTCCAGTTAAGGGTGTTAAACGTGTATTGCACTACGGGGACAGCAGTGAGAGAAAAACACGTCAACAGAGTGATGCTGGGTTACACTAGCACCCAGTTTAGAAGCGTATACCAAACACATGCATCGCAGCCAAATATGTGCGATAGAGTCACAACTTTTGTTAAAAGCAGCGCATAAGCTTAAAGTGGAGGCCTAGATAGAAATACCTTCAACACATGGTAGAGGATGTTGATTTTCTGTTCAAATTCATTCATGATCTATTAAACTATCTCAATAATCATTATCTAACGCCAAGGTGACCAAATCCTACACCAAATCCTTTCTGTGGCCGATATCTTTGAAACATATTTATAAATAAAAGTCTATGGCGCACGTAATAAACCTGATACCACTCCCCAATAATTTAATATCAATATTTTTTTTAATAAATATATATATTGGTCATATACATTTATTTTCGACATCTTGACTTTTGGTAAATACCTATTCTTTTGTAAAAAGAAATCACTTGGCATAATAACTTACCTTGCTACCTTCTCCTTCCAGCTGTCGCATAGCACTTAGCTACAATTTTCTGGCCCTTAGATCGATTTGGGGCATGTCGTGAGGTCCTGGAACCATTTGGTGTTTCTTTTTTGAGTTCCTCTTTAAATGTAATTCGCTGTGATATTTTAAGACGATCACTTGGTTTAATTTGGACTGGTTTGCTTGTTTAACGGCAAATCAACACCTTATGGGTCATCAAATGCCGAAATTTTATTTTCTGGTGAGCTTTGTTGTGCCTCGTGTTTGATTTATTTTCCAAAAATATATTGCTTGCAATTCTTGTATTCTTTTTACTATAAAAATGAATTGCTGATAATTTTTTTTTTCTGTATTTTTATATTTTCATATTTTGACCCCAGTTTAGAGTTTCGCTGTTTGCCCATAGCTGTGACCCTAACAGTTGCTACCACACCTAGTCAGGGTGGACCTGAGAACAACAGTAATTATTAAGTGATTCCACACTTCTCAAAATCTCCCGATCAGAAGCCTTGCTGCTGGAAGTAGTTTATCTTCTTACCCAGGATAGACGACCACTTAGTCTTTTGCAGTCCTGAGATATCCAGTTTATAGCAACTATGGCTGGTCGACTGTCAGGTAGCCTCAGAATATGGCCGATGAACTGTATCGGTCTATCTGTCACAATTACACTAAGGTTTCTAAATTTAGCATGTCTTAGCACATTTTAGATTCTATCTCTCCAAAAAATTTTGAGGGTTTTGCGAAGGCATCTAAAATGAAAGACATCTAAATGTTGAATAACATGTTTGAACTTCCAAGTTTCGCATGCAGATAAAGCAATTGAAATAGTAATAGATTTGTATCATTTGAATTCTATTGCATAATAAAATCTGACATTTTCTATAAACTGTTGGCTTTGACTCGAAATCAATGTAACAGCAAGTCCCGCGAAATAGCTATGCACTTTTATTAATACGGAAGTTTTTTTTTTTCTCTCTCTCTGTTTTCTTTATTTCTTTTTCTCTCTCATTTAGTGCTTGCTGTACTGTTCCAAGATTTACTATTCCGTTGTGCGTATTTCGCAAATCTTGCTTTGTTTGTTTGGTCACAGCCCGAAATGAGTCCTTTCCCATCTTCCTTTCGATTATTCTTTAGAGACATAATTGTTGTGGGTGGAGAAGTAGTGCTAAATATTCGCTTTATATTCTTTTTTTTTTTCTTCTGATTCTTGCTTCGTTTTACTCTTCAGTATTTTTCCCGTGTGGAGCACGTTTCTTTATACCCACCAGAATTTCTCAAACGCATGCAAAGAAGGTCACGTACATTTTGAATGAAACGCGAAAAACTACAGAGAAGGAAAACAAAAAAAAAGAAAACAAAGGATCAAATAACTTTAACTGAAAGTTGGCCTGAGTGTCTCATTTGCATTGCTTTCCAGTAAAAAAAAAATGGACAAAGCGTCAGATCTTATTCCTGGGCGCTACGGTAGTAATATAATGTCGCCATAAGTACCGTTTCTTCGTTGTCGATTCAACGCATACACTAGTTACACACACACAAACGCACACAAAATCACTCTCTCTTCCTCTCTCTCGCTCTCTCATTTGCAAGCAAAAATCGCGCTATCTTACGATGCCCAACACAACTAATTCATCTACATCTGCTTACATTATACACCTTATGACCACTTAGCTCCTGACACTAACCCTCTCGAAAGCTAGCTTTTGTCGGCAAATTTCTGGCGACGGCTTGCCTCGGAGTATGTCGAATTTCAAGACTGATTGGATTTCATCGATTTTCGATCTTGCCTCCTAGCAAGAATTATCAACCTGGATATGGGTTAATTCGTTCTGAATATGCAGTGAGGCACAACACAGCTACAAAGACCCTGAATACCCGTGGCGATAGCGTCTTAAAAAAGCACTGAACTGGTGACCTAAAGAATCTACTAGTAAACTAAATTATCATATTCGCCAACATCCTGAAAAGACATGGAACATAAATGAAGCACAACATTCGTCTGTTAGAGTAATGATTGGTTGGTTTGTTTTTTATGGCTTATCAACCTTTTTCAGCTTATTTTAAAACCAGAATACATTTTTAGATGGCAAGACTTTTACGGAGATAATAATGATTTATTGATGCAAGTCTTGATAATTAACATAACTTGGAGGGAAAGAAGTGAGTTAATATTTTTCTCAAAGGTATTTGCGCGTAATTGCATATAACGAACCCGACTGGATTTAGAACTCAGCTCATCGATTTCCAATTGCGAGACATTATCCATTACAGCACTCACACGTCTTACAGCACCTGATATTCCCAAGCGGTCACCCATTTAGGTATTGAATAGGTTCGACGTTGCTTAAATTCAGTGATCGTACGAGAACAAGTGTTTGAATATGATACTAGCCTGTTTAAGTGATTCGGTGTTAAGTGATTATAAGCTGAAGGCTCCACTGTTATAATATCTAATAGGCTTTTGTTTGTGGTGCCTTCAGTGAGCAATAAACTTTCTACAGTATCAGTGATCTGCAACATTTGCTTGATAACTAGTCGCCCATGACGAGACGAAACTTATTAAGTTTTATTAATGCTAAGAAAACTGGCATAATAAAATTATATAAAAGAGTAAAATTATATTAAAATTGTATATTAGTTTAAAATTATATTAAAACTGTATATCAGATCAAAATTATATTAAAATTGTATATAAGATTAAAATTATATTAAAACAGTATATAAGATCAAAATTATATCAAAATTATATACAAGATTAAAATTATATCAAAATTGTATATAAAATTAGAATTAAATCAAATCAGTATATAAGATAAAAATTATATTAAAATTGTATATAAGATTAAATTCATATCAAAATTATATATAAGATTAAAATTATATCAAAATTATATATAAGATTAAAATTATCTCAAAACTGTATATAACATCAAAATTATATTAAAATTGTATATAAGATTAAAATTATCTCAAAACTGTATATAACATCAAAATTATATTAAAATTGTGTATAAGATTAAAATTATATCAAAACTGTATATAAGATCAAAATTATGTAAAATTGTATATAAGATTAAAATTATATCAAAACTATATATAATGTCAAAATTATATTAAAATTGTATATAAGGGAAAAAAGACAAGTGGTGGACGATGAACAAGGCTAATAATACAAATCACCGTCAAGGGATAACTCGAAACAATAACCACAAAAATTACAGGGAAATATCAAAGAATGAAATTGAGGCTAATCGGTTTTCGATCTTTTCTCTTCGGAACCAATCGAGGACAAAAATATAATTGTGTGTACATCCTTAAAAAATAAATAAGAACTGCCAGGCATACATTTTATTCGTTAGTTTTATCTCGTATCCATGAATTTAAATTCGTCTTTGCTGATCGCTTCCTTTATGATGATGGCTTTGATGACATAAGTGGATGAGTCGATGGCATTGAGGGCATGATGATGTTGGTGGAGGACGAGGTTGATTTTGTCGAGCCTCTCTCTCTCTTGCCGTTGACTTCTCTTCTGGTGGCTTTGAAGTTTTTGGCTGCGATGGTGTCGATGAAACAACGCCAGTTGGTATGGTCTCTCTGCTTGTGTTTCAAACGATTTAGGCTGAAGTCATTTGGCTTTCAGAGTTCAGAGAAGTGTGAAAAGGAAATTAAAAACATTGGCAAAATATGGACAGAAACAACATGGCTTTAACAGTGTGGCTGGAAGAGATCTAAGATAAAATGAAAGTATAAGCAAGAAAATTGAATTGACAAACAAAAAGACACCGGAAGAAATCGATGTTGCGAATGTAAACAAAGAGTACAGCGATAGACAATTGATTTAATATTGGTTAATATATCGACTGGAAGAGGGGAGAACTGCCAGCTTTAAATAAATATAACAAGGAGAAATCTATAGCTGGGCGAGGTTTATGAAAACTGATATCTCAGTAGCAGTTTTTAATAATGAATATAGAGCGACATGGATTGAATTTGATTGCTGAACTACAGGCAAGTTCCTTCATGGAACTAGAGATCGACAGAAGACAAGAGTGAGGTGAAGTAAGATTTTGGGATTTTTATTCTAGGCAGTAAACTAAGAAACCACCTTGGTCATATTGAAATGTTTAGGATTTTATTCATGGATGACAATTACGGATAAAGCTTTTTTAGAATATCAAATAGAACAAAAATTTTAATCGCACATTCCAGTAAACGTGCAGATTTTCTTATGGAAACATGCGGTTTTTGATACGGGAATAAGCTGCCCGAGAAAGTGAAAATTGTAGCAGATATATGTAACTATATTTCTGTTGTAATATATCTTTGTTATTCTACTTTTGTGTTCGTGTTGTTCTTCCTTGGTTCATAACTGTGGTGCGAGGATATTGGACCATAACAGTAACTTTAAAAGAAATCTTGATATTTCCGTGAGAGTGACAGGAGAGGCGGACAGTGCGAACCACATTGGGAGCTATCAGAGGAAGTTTTCGAAGTAATATAAAAATAAAAATAGAAATATCATACAACATTTATTTTTTTAAGATATAAAGGATAACTTTAAGGCGCTTTTAACTTTTTGACAAGGATATTATGAAATATTTTTTTTTCTTTTTAAGCGGTTTCGTGTAAATAGTTTTTACACGATTGTTTTGTATATGATTCTTTTTTTTTTTGTCAAAACGGTTCTACATTGTCTCTTTGATTTTCTTTTTTTTTATAAAATATTTTTTGTATTCATAGAGTGATTTTATACAACTGAAAAGATATTTGATGCTTTTTTTTTACAAACGATATTCAGGTTTTGAAAGATTTTTTTTTTTTAAATGTTGCATAAGTATATTTCATAATGTTCTATTAAAATGTCCATGGAGGCATAAATAAATGTGTAAACAAGCAAACAAATAAAACAAATAAAAGAGTAAATTCAAACAGGAAGTAATTCTTCGTGAAAACGATTTGAAATCTAACAAATTAATGGAATTGCTTCCAGCCTCACCAGATATATTAATCGAACAGAAAACTTGGGATCCATCATTAATATATATATATATATATATATGTAGATAGATAGATAGATAGATAGATAGATAGATAGATAGATAGATAATGTAAGTCTAGATAGATAATGAAGATCAGATAGATAGATAGATAGATGCAGATAGATAGATAGATAGATAGATAGATAGATAGATAGATAGATAGATAGATAGATAGATAGATAGATAGATAATGTGCAGTCTCAGATAGATAGATAAATAGATAGATAGATAGATAGATAGATAGATAATGTGCAGTCTCAGATAGATAGATAATGTGCAGTCTTAGATAGATAGATAGATAGATAGATAGATAGATAGATAGATAGATAATGTGCAGTCTCAGATAGATAATGTGCAGTCTTAGATAGATAGATAGATAGATAGATAGATAGATAGATAGATAGATAATGTGCAGTCTCAGATAGATAATGTGCAGTCTTAGATAGATAGATAGATAGATAGATAGATAGATAGATAGATAGATAGATAGATAGATAGATAATGTGCAGTCTCAGATAGATAATGTGCAGTCTTAGATAAATAGATAGATAGATAGATAGATAGATAGATAGATAGATAGATAGATTGTGTGTGGATGTCAGTATAAAAGAAAACAATCTTCATGTAAAGAGGTTCTCTGCAAACGCTGGAAATTACGCTAGGAAACAAGAGTTAGTTAAGATTATCAATGGATGAAACACTTGTGAATTTTAGAGAGTATCAAAGAGTCTATATCATGTAAAAAACTAATTTATTTTGGCGTATGGGAAATTGTGTTAATCAAATATGCGTTTCTATTACCTATATCTTTTGGATTTATTTCTAAATAAAAACAAAGATTATGTTATATTTAATCTGATTGAATAATAAAAGTTATTATTACTTTTAATAAAGATTAAAAGCTGAAATGCATTGGTAGACGACTAAAATAAATATGAATAACTCTTGACAATTTTGCTGAGATCGGTTGATTAATATCTATTTTATTGTTAAAATATCATCTTATATAATACAATCTGAGATACTTATGTATCACAATTAACATTGGCTCATAATTTTATTTATTTTTAATCAAGATAAAATTATATTCTTTATTATATTGAAATGAAATATTCATTTTTAAATATCATTTACGATATCTTCATCATACAAATATTAAGTTGAGTCATAAATAATTTCAGCTTTCAGGAAACAATTTTAAGGTAAATATTAAAATGAAATATACATTTATAAATATCTTTTAAGATATCTTCATCATACAAATATTGAGTCATAAATAATTTCACCTTTTAGGAGCCAGTTGTAAGGAGGAATGTATGAACGTAACTAATTGTACCTAAGATATATCTTACCAGGTAAGGAAAATCGTTTAATTATGAAGATGTTCAATGCAAAAGTCCCTCACTTGACAAGGAATACATCTCCACGGCCGACTCCAAAAGTTGAACTCTATGGAAGAAAGATGTTGTGTGTGTCGTGAGTTGTTATTCATTTAGTGTTCTTAAAACGTAATTAAACACTAAATCCATATTTATATGCCTAGCAGCTGCAAATTATCAAGTTTAGTTGACATGCGCACTGAGTTCTTCAATAGGAAAAACGTTTTATTCTGCTTAACAACGCAAGGCCGCATACAGCATGAATAACACGGTGAAAATGTTTCGAAATCGGTTTGTGATTTCTCTCCCACCCGCCATATTAACCTGACAAACCATTTATTACCTTTCCTGATTGCTGTAAAACGTTTAGAATCGGAAACATTCTTTAATGAAAACAAGATTTAAGAGCTCTACCAAAATTTGTTCGCATCAAAACCTGCGGAATTTTACTCAAAATGTATTGAAGAGCTGCGCGATAAATGGCAAGAAATCACTGCTAATAATGGCAAATATATAACAGAATAAAATATAAAAGAACTTAATTTTTGTAAAGAATATGATTGGTATGAATAAATGGAAATTATTTAACTCAATCTAATAGTTTCTTTTCTGTTGTTGGAAATTAAATGTTATTTGGGTTAAACTCATGACTTCGCATCTCGACTTCAGTCACATTCTCACTGAGGTGACGTGGATTCGTTCTGTCTTTTCCACAAATATTTTCATAGGAATTGCTCTGACGAGCTCTTTGCCCTGGTTCTCGGACTACATTAGTTTAAGCGTGCTACTAGATTGGCAACTAGGTCCCACCCTTTTACTGTTGAAATAGTTAAATGTAACCGCCACTTCTACTCCAACAGTTTCCTTTCTCGCACTTCCCGTCAGCGGAACCTCCTTCCGTTTACTTGCTTCCCTGATAAATACAATCTCCAAAAATTTAAATGCAACATCAATCGCTATCTTTTTTCCTCTTGAACCCCGCTCAGCTTTTAACCTTTCCTCGCATCCCCTATACACATTCTTTTCTCTTAGTTTCATTCTCTATAACCCCCTGCGTATTAGTGGCATCCCTGTCTTGCTTGGGCGAATATGATTTTAAAAAAATATCCAGCCGCGCCCAGTAAGAACGATTTCAATTGCGAATTATTAACGGTTAACATGGCTATACAGCTTTCGAATGTTACAAAAATATCTGATTGGTCATCGATCTTCATAGCATGAAATGTTTCATACACCTGTAGAGTTAACGTCTTTGGGAAGATTAAACAACTAAGTTCATACAAAAATTCTGAGCATGTTCTACAAAATGTTAGTGAAAATCTTGAGTATCTATGTTTTCTGAATGAGGTTATCGAAATTAACATGACTCATCGTTAAAACAGTTGCTTTTATTTTCTTGTTGAACACATAAAAAATAAGATTCACTAAATTAGTAACCACCTAAAAAATTTTTTACCCGGTTTCTATCCGAAAGTATAGTGCTACTTTGAAATATTTTGTACACCGAAAGAGCGTCAAGCGGATTTTCTATTGTTATTAATTTATATATGAAAAGTTGTTGAACGTTTCCAAACGCAAAAATGAATTTTCATATTTCCGTGAAAAATTTTCAATGCTGTAATGATTGCAGAGAATATCAGTCTGTTTAAGTCAGGTTGATGGGATGTTTTTAGTTCCTACAAAGAAATGTGGTAAAAAAGCGTGAGGCGAAGAATGCTATCATATTTTAAGCATTCCACAGCAAAGAAATTCGACTATTTTTTTCATTGACACAAGCAGCCATTTATTTGGAGGAGACTAGAAACATTCAAGAAATTTCTTATAGAACTTAATGCTAATCGCTTTTTCAGTTTACGCCATTTTGGATTATCCGTGAGCAAGAAAAGTGGTATAAAAAGAAAATTTCGAAAAGCCGTGGATTCCAGTATTATGAGAAGGGAAAAAAGCAGAAAATCGTACTTCTACACAAGATATTATTCAGTGTTTAAAACCAAATGCGATTTACTGAAGTAGAAGTCGTCTGTATTTGCTAGAACTTGGACAAAATTAAAAAAAAAGGTCTGTAATGTAATCGATCCTAATCTGACATTATGGGTTCGGTTCTTTTCTCACCAATGTAACCAATGTAACATGGATTCACTTTGTCTTGTCTACAAATATTTTTTTATCGCAATTGTTATGATTAACTGTTCGCTTTAGTGTCTCCTCTGCATGAATTTAAGCGTGCTACAACGTTGCCAACTGGGTTTCGCAGTCTTACTGTTGAACTAACTAGATGCAACCGTATGTTCTATTCTAATAGTTTCTTCTCTCGCACTTCTCTCCTGTGGAACTCCCTTCATATTTCTTGCTTCCCTGCCAACTACAATTTTTAAACATTTAAATGCAATACCAATCGTTACCTTCTGTCTTCCTGAACCCCTTTCTTTTATTGTCGTTTCAGCTCACTCATCCTCATTAAAGTCTTCTTCTCTTTCACTCTCTGTAACCCCTTGCGTACTAGTGGCATTATCACCTTGCTTGGTGTGAAATTATTTTTAAAAAGACCGCAGTTCTTCTGTGGATAAATGATTTGTTTGAATGAGACGTTGGAAAAGAGCGGAACTAATTCTGGACAAGAAAGTTGAGAGATGCTATTTTTTTGTTCATTCTCCCTATAAAACACCGCTTATTCTAATGTTACAAATGCGACGCATCAACTGATCATAGATCTAAGATGAAAAGTTATTCCCGACGTACGAAATATTCACCAAAACCGTCCCCTTCTGACATTCACTTGGTTCGCACCACGCAACATCGTTTCGCAGGCCAGTGCTTCCAGCAGATATCGAAAAGTTCTTCAAATCGAATCAAAACAAGAATTCTTTTATGATGGAATATATCATTTAGGTGATATGTGGTGTGAGCCCATAAACAATTCAGGGGAAATATCTTGTTGAATGAATAATGATGCTATGAATTTATATAAATAAAACATGTTTTAAGAAATTCAGTCCCAACAATTTTAACTCTTAGCGTCTAAATGTACGCACATAAATCCAAATAAATAATTGAAATTCACCCACTGCATATGATTGGATCCCTGTTGTGGTTGGCTACGAGAGCAAAAAGCATTTTACAGGCATCGGCTGGGTAGATAAAGCAGCTGTTACATTGATATGGGAGAGGAGAGTAAATTTCGACAAGAATGAGATCAAAGAAAAATTAACTAATGCCTATCCCGACAGCATTACTACGAAATGAACACAACCATACTCAGTGATGTTGTTTCATTTATTTAGTAATGTTTATTGTCAGTGATGATGTATTACCAGCTCAAGACGAAGGATGATCCTCTCGAAGACCTACGGGCTTCATTCGGTCGAAGCCAGCTTTAAGTATTGCTCTTTGAATGAGATTATATACAGCTGACAATTTAAAATATTTCTGAACAAGTTTTGATGTCATGCATGATATCCGTATGATGGTTTCGATCTGACGAGGCTTTTTAAGAACATGACTCGAGTTTTTAGGCTATTGTTTTGGTTTTGCGGTAACATGCGGTGTTATGCAAAACTACCACGAGTGCAGACTTTTCCATTTTCAAATTACCCATCCCCGTTTTAGCCTCCGTAAACTTCAAGATATCGAATGCGGATTTTTACCAACTGAAACAATGGCGTAACACAATATACCTCCATTGTTTTATCTCACTTAACTTAGTAAATATTGAAAAATAAAAGCTTTAATATTGAACTAACAAAATACATAACTCTATACGATTTATTCCAAATTTTCATCAACTTCATTATATGATTCTTTTTAAAGGCGCATTGTTTTTTTAATATTTTTTTAAAATCTTTTCCGTTTTTATTGACATAAAATGACTCCAAGTGTGCAAGATTAAGGGCTCTATGGACGTAGGATTTGAAGATTATGTTGATTGACTTGAACTGGTTAGGACTGTAATGTATACCTTCAGCAACGGCACCAATTAAAATGGATAGCCCATGTCATTCAAAGCAAAAACAATCAACATACTGAACTTCCACACTACTTCAAACACAAAGTTTAGGAAGGAATCTCCCATCAAAACTGGAAATAACAAAAACTGGACTTGAGAAAGACTATTTCTTGAAAAATTGTTTTTTT